TAGTATTTGATACACTGTATTTGATACACTGCCAATTTTGCAGGTTTTCCTACTTACAAAGCATGTAGAGGTCTGTAATTTTTATCATAGGTACACTTCAACTGTGAGAGACGGAATCAAAACAAAAATCCAGAAAATCACATTGTATGATTTTTAAGTAATTAATTTGCATTTTATTGCATGACATAAGTATTTGATCACCTACCAACCAGTAAGAATTCTGGCTCTCACAGACCTGTTAGTTTTTCTTTAAGAAGCCCTCCTGTTCTCCACTGAATACCTGTATTAACTGCACCTGTTTGAACTCGTTACCTGTATAAAAGACACCTGTCCACACACTCAATCAAACAGACTCCAACCTCTCCACAATGGCCAAGACCAGAGAGCTGTGTAAGGACATCAGGGATAAAATTGTAGACCTGCAAAAGGCTGGGATGGGCTACAGGACAATAGGCAAGCAGCTTGGTGAGAAGGCAACAACTGTTGGCGCAATTATTAGAAAATTGAAGAAGTTCAAGATGACGGTCAATCACCCTCGTCTGGGGCTCCATGCAAGATCTCACCTCGTGGGGCATCAATGATCATGAGGAAGGTGAGGGATCAGCCCAGAACTACACTGCAGGACCTGGTCAATGACCTGAAGAGAGCTGGGACCACAGTCTCAAAGAAAACCATTGGTAACACACTACGCCGTCATGGATTAAAATCCTGCAGCGCACGCAAGGTCCCCCTGCTCAAGCCAGCGCATGTCCAGGCCAGTCTGAAGTTTGCCAATGACCATCTGGATGATCCAGAGGAGGAATGGGAGAAGGTCATGTGGTCTGATGAGACAAAAATAGAGCTTTTTGGTCTAAACTCCACTCGCCGTGTTTGGAGGAAGAAGAAGGATGAGTACAACCCCAAGAACACCATCCCAACCGTGAAGCATGGAGGTGGAAACATCATTCTTTGGGGATGCTTTTCTGCAAAGGGGACAGAACGACTGCACGGTATTGAGGGGAGGATGGATGGGGCCATGTATCGCGAGATCTTGGCCAACAACCTCCTTCCCTCAGTAAGAGCATTGAAGATGGGTCGTGGCTGGGTCTTCCAGCATGACAACGACCCGAAACACACAGCCAGGGCAACTAAGGAGTGGCTCCGTAAGAAGCATCTCAAGGTCCTGGAGTGGCCTAGCCAGTCTCCAGACCTGAACCCAATAGGAAATCTTTGGAGGGAGCTGAAAGTCTGTATTGCCCAGCGACAGCCCCAAAACCTGAAGGATCTGGAGAAGGTCTGTATGGAGGAGTGGGCCAAAATCCCTGCTGCAGTGTGTGCAAACCTGGTCAAGACCTACAGGAAACGTATGATCTCTGTAATTGCAAACAAATTTTTCTGTACCAAATATTAAGTTCTGCTTTTCTGATGTATCAAATACTTATGTCATGCAATAAAATGCATATTAATTACTTAAAAATCATACAATGTGATTTTCTGGATTTTTGTTTTAGATTCCGTCTCTCACAGTTGAACTGTACCTATGATAAACATTACAGACCTCTACATGCTTTGTAAGTAGGAAAACCTGCAAAATTGGCAGTGTATTAAATACTTGTTCTCCCCACTGTATGTACATGAAGGCAGGGTAAAGTGACTAGGCATCAGGATAGATAATAATAAGGTATTTGAGGTAGATATGTACATGAAGGCAGGGTAAAGTGACTAGGCATCAGGATAGATAACAATAAGGTATTTGAGGTAGATATGTACATGAAGGCAGGGTAAAGTGACTAGGCATCAGGATAGATAACAATAAGGTATTTGAGGTAGATATGTACATGAAGGCAGGGTAAAGTGACTAGGCATTAGGATAGATAATAAGAGTCAAATAATGAACAGAGCAGTGGCGTGTATTCATGGTCGCCAAGGGATGCCAGGCTTCCCCAAAAAAAAGAAGAAAAAAAAAAGAACATTAAATAATTTATCTTTTATCTCTCTGTGTTTCATAATTTTCTTTCAATTCGTAAGAGGCTGAATGTATCTCACAGGAGAAAGCATCCCAGCGAGCGAAACAGCGCCCCCTCTGTCTCTCTATGTGTAGGCCATTTATCTGCTACTGTCTGATCCAAACGAGTAGGACATTGTTGCCGCCCGTAGCATTGAATGCAAGGAAAGCCAGCGAACATTTGGCCTCCCTTGACAGAAAGAGTATACAAAATGTGCCAATCAGCATTGAGCTAAACTGAGCGAACTCAACTGTGAATGGTCCTAGCTAAAAAATAAAAATAAATGTCTAGGGAAGCCAGTTTGGATTTGGCATCTTCTATCAAATCGCTTTGAGAGCATACGTCGTTAACAAAAAACAACTTGAATTGTTGCATCTCGTTGTGTTGTTGTCCTCCGGTGGCTAGCTAGCTAAAATTGGCCCTTTCCTAAATTAGCCATGGATGGAGATCGGGATTTGGACTTGTGGTTTTACTTAATTGTCCGTACAGGCCAGTGATCATAACGGCGATTCTGATCCAACCATTAATTCATACATTGTTGTGCCCCTGTCCTGAGAGGATATGTACTGTAGCTAGATGTAGAAAGCTAATGTTAACTAGCTAACGTTGCCCATGAGTGGAAAGTTAGGCTAGTGAGAAAGCATTTTAGCCAGGTAGCCTAGGAAAAACAAATAAAAGGGTGTACTGTATGACATAGACTGTTTCGTCAACATGAAGGAGATGAGTAGGGTGAGTCGACTGGCTTCCCCAGTGATTTTACCCACGCACCGTGACTGGAACAGAGTAGTTTAAAAAGGTGGAAGAACAGAATAGTTTAAAAAAAGGTGGAAGAACAGAGTAGTTTGAATTCATGGGGAAAATTACTGAGGATTTTGGACAGGAGAAGGTGTCTGAAGTGACTACAATTTTACATTTTAGTCATTCAGCAGACGCTCTTATCCAGAGCGACTTACAGTTAGTGAGTGCATACAGTTTATTATCTTTTTAATACTGGTCCCCTGTGGGAATCGAACCCACAACCCTGGCATTGCAAATGCCATGCTCTACCAACTGAGCTACACGGGACTATTTTAATACTGGACTTTGAACACTTGTCTTCACTGGTGGTAAAAGACCGTGCACAGATAGGGCTCTACCCTGACAGAGCACATGCCCCTTTCCCTTCCAGTCTCCAAAGTGCCGTTTTGGGTGGGTGGTGGTGTAATTTCCCCCCAAATGTATTTTTTTTAAAATACATTTTTAGTAATTGTTGTTCGGAACCCACTGCCCGCAAGTCATTGTCAAGTTCGCCACCCCCCCACCCTGTCCGTTGGTTGCACTGGTTGATCTGCCCTGTATGGAGATCTGCCCCGTTATCCAAACATCCATGGCTTGAGAGATGCGGTCACCGAATGTGTGGTGTAGCTAGCTACCTACTTTAAAATAAAGTAAATTAAATTAAATATCAACAGTGCTGCCACAGCAGCATAACATTTGAATAACACTTGATCTTCATCAATATACGGTCTTGTTGGCTGATACGCGCAGCAGGGAGAGGCAGAAAAACAGAGAGCATCTTTCATTTTGAGCACCTGCCCCCTGAAAGGTCTGTGCACTGTCCTCTTAAAGACCGACCAGAGACTGCAGCCTGGTCTCATAAACTAGAAGTGACATAGTAAATGTTCATCCGGGACACTTAAATTAGTATGATATGTTAAGTTTGGTATGGTTACATGAAATGGAAGGTTACTTTAGGGTGGTTGGTCAGAGTGTATCAGCCTGGTCTCATAGACTACACGTAACATAGTAAACGTAAATCCGGGACACTCAAATTAGTATGATATGTTACGTATTATAAACTGTGTGGTTCAAGCCCTGAATGCTGATTGGCTGAAAGCCGTGGTATATCAGACCGTATACCATGGGTATGACAAAAAATGACTCTGGTAACCAGTTTATAATAGCAATAAGGTACCTCTGGGGTTTGTTGTAATGGCCAATATATCACGGCTAAGCGCTGTATCCAGGCATTCCGCTTTGTGTCATGCATAAGAACAGCCCTTAGCCGTGGTATATTGGCCGTACAACATAACCCCTCAGGATTTATTGCTTAATTGTATTGTTACATAAGACAGAAGGTTACTTAAGTCAAAAATGAAAAGTAGGGTGGTTAGTCACGGTGGATGGGTGGGTTTATAACGCGAACATCTAGCAACCCAAAGGTTGCGTGTTAGAATCTCATCACGGACAACTTTTGCATTTGAGCTAATTAGCAACTTTGCAACTTTTGCATTTGAGCTAATTAGCAACTTTGCAACTTTTGCATTTGAGCTAATTAGCAACTTTGCAACTACTTACTACTTTTTAGCTTCTTTGCAACTAATTAGCATGTTAGCTAACCCTTACCTTAACCCTTTAACTTAACTCCTAACCTTAACCCCTAACCCCTTGAGCTAGCTAATATTAGCGTTAGCCACCTAGCTAATGTTTGCGACAACAAATTGCAATTCGTAACATATTGTATGAATTGCAATTCGTAACATATTGTTTAATCATACGAATTGCAAAGTAAGCAGGGCAGAATGAGAAGCCACGCCCCCTGAATCAGTCTCCTAGATGTTGCTGTTTACTTTCTCACTCTATTTCCAGTAACTCAATTATGACTGAGATTTCATCTTAAATTAGTTTGAGGGCCAGAGTATGGTAGACTAATACCTCGTGGACAGATCTACGTAAACATAACTCGTACCGTAGAATCTGTCAGGAAGGAATGGGATGTGTGGGCTAACGAGCAGCATTAGTTCCAGCGTTTCGTTTTTTTTTTCCGTCACTGGTTATTTGGACAAATCATGATTTCGCAGGTGTTAGCATCTTTTGAATTTTGGAAGGGTGAGGGGACATTTGGCCTGGGTTAACTGAGATTAGCTACACTCATACCTGTAGACGTCACATACACACTCTTGATTTTTACCAGTGGTATCTGTGAATACATGTGGTAAAACAATAGTCTTTCTCATCACCGGAACTCTGAGGAGCATGTCACTCTTAGTCAGACGCTGTATGTCAACCTTAAAGGTGCAATCTGCAATACATGTAGTTTTAATCTATAGCTCCATCTATGAATTTGGGAGTTGTTTACGGTTCGCCCCACCCCTCAGATTGTGCCATCCACTTCATATGTTACTTTCCTTTTTTCAGATCTCGGGACTGGTTGCCATGGAGACAAACGGGACAGTGACGTCTCCGCAGGACAGAGAGAAGACCTGTCTGAGTTCTAACGCAACTTCCACACACTATGGTTCCACAGCTGACAGCCTTCCTACTTCTGAACCGTCCACAGCGGAGACAACAGTCTTCTCTCCACTACGCTCCCATATAACAGTAGCCGTGCTCTGTTATATCAACTTAATCAATTACATGGACCGATACACAATCGCAGGTGAGAGTCTTTCAGCACTTCTATTGAAAACAGCTAAACACCTGCAGTCAAGCTTGCAACTTTCCCCTTTTTGCATGGTGGCTTGCATCACGTCACATCCACAGATTTATCACCTAGTCGCGGCTTGGGGAGTCGAACCAGCGACCTTTCACTTACTGACCAACACGCTCGTAACTGCTAAGCTACCTGCCACTATCTACATCAAGCTTGTGACTCTATAAACTTGTTGGATGCATTTGCAGTCTGTTTTGTTTTAGATAATGCATGGGCATTTCTGATGCTGATTAGTTATGGAGGGTCCCTTTTGTACTAACTAATGCAATACTGTTTCTGTTTTTTTCTCACAGGGGTCCTTTCCAGTATCCAGAAGTTCTTTGATATAGCTGACAGCACATCTGGACTACTACAGACAGGTATATATGATGATTCATATTTACATTCACTTCACACCCTGTTCTGTTATTGTGTTTACAACCACAACCTCATCATGCTGAGGGTGCAGAGTGCAGCGACCCTCACATTACAGGAAAACAAGAAGACGTTAGATCAACGATTACTTCACTTCCTGTGCAATGCTTATTGATACAATCTCAGGTTATCTGATTTTACTGTGCCTTGAGAAACTATTCACACCACTTGACTTTCTCCACATGTTGTGTTACTGCTTGAATTTAAAATGGATTACATTGAGATTTTTTGGTTACTGGCTTACGCAAAATACCCCAGTATGTTTTTAGAAATGTTTACAAATTAATTAAAAACGAAAAGATGAAATGTCTTGAGTCTTTAAGTATTCCAGCCCTTTGTTATGGCAAGCCCACATAAGTTCCACAGTAAAAATGTGCACAACAAGTCACATAATAAATTGCGTGGACTCGCTCTGTGTGCAATAATAGTGTTTAACATGATTTATGAATCACAACCTCATCTCTGTACCCCACACATATAATTATCTGTAAGGTCCCTCAGTCGAGCAGTGAATTTCAAACACAGATTCAACCACAATGACCAGGGAGGTTTTACAATGCCTCGCAAAGAAGGGAACCTATTGGTAGATGGGTTTTTAAAAAAGCAACAGACATTAAATATCCCTTTGAGCATGGTGAAGTTATTAATTACACTTTGGATGGTGTATTATCTATCCTAATGCCTAGTTGGACCCAGTCTCTACAAAAATACAGGCGTCCTTCCTAACTCAGTTGCCAGAGAGAAAGTAAACTGCTCAGGGATTTCACCATGAGGTCAATGTTGACTTTAAAACAGTTACAGAGTTTAATGGCTGTGATAGGAGAAAACTGAGGATGGATCAACAACATTGTAGTTACTCCACAATACTAACCTAATTGACAGAGTGAAAAGAAGGAAGCCTGTACAGAATACAAATATTCCAAAACCATGCATCCTATTTTCAACAAGGCACTAAAGTAAAACTTAAAAAAATGTGGCAAAGCAATTAACATTTTGTCCTGAATACAAAGTGTTATGTTAGGGGCAAAAACAATACACAACACATTACTGAGTACCACGCTCCATATTTTCAAGCATAGTGGTGGGTAATGCTTGTAATCATTAAGGACTGGGGAGTTTTTCAGGATTAAAAATAAACAGAATACTAGAGGAAAACCTGGTTCAGTCTGCTTTCCACCAGACACTAGGAGATTAATTCACCTTTCAGCAGGACAATAACCTAAAACACAAGGCCAAATCAACACTGCTTACCAAGAAGACTGTGAATGTTCCTGAGTGGCCGAGTTAGTTTTGACTTAAATCAACTTGAAAATCTATGGCAAGACCTTAAAATGGTTGTCTAGCAATGATCAACAACCAATTGGACAGAGTTTGAAGAGTTTAGAAAAGCATAAAGGGAAAATGTTGAACAATCCAGAGCTGTATTTGATTGTGATGTAAATTGAGTATGTAGTATGCTTATTGGTCATAGTATGGATATAGTTAGTATGCCAAAAGTTCCAAGATGTCGTACTACATTCGGCAAAATTCAAAGTATACAAGCAGTGGACACTATTTCTGGGTTTTTAGGGCCCATAATGCAATTCTCCAGAAGATGGGCGTGGCTTCACAACATTTTCAGATTTGAAGAAAATGGCGGAAAATATGCAGTCGAAGTCCGACGTGAGCGGATACAAATTTGTTGCTTTAATTATGACAAATGTTAAGAAAATGTTGCGCAATGTAATAAAAATAGTAATGTCTTCTCAAATAAGTTACACGTTATGTTGGCTGACAATTTGTTAGCTACGCTAGCTTTACGAACCGCATAGCATATCATTACAGCAGTTGCTTGTATGTACCAGTATGTTAGCTAGGTACCTAACGTTAGTTGGCTACTTTTATTTATTTTATTTTATTTTACCTTTATTTAACTAGGCAAGTCAGTTAAGAACAAATTCTTATTTACAATGGCGGCCTACACCGGCCAAACCCGGACGACGCTGGGCCAATTGTGCGCTGCCCTATACTAATACATGGAACTTGCCAGTATATTAACTATATGCTAACTAACTAACTACCCAACGTTTATTGACTTGATTATTCACGTCATGCTTAGCTAAGTGGTATAGTCGTTGTGCGTTCTCAATGGACATGGTTAGTGGTGTAATAAGATGTCAATAGTGTCATCTCCCGAGTGGCACAGTGGTCTAAGGCACTGCATCGCAGTGCTAGCTGTGCCACTAGAGATCCTGGTTAGAATCCAGGCTCTGCTGTAGCCGGCCGCAACCGGGAGACCAATGGGGTGGCGCACAATTGGCCCAGCGTCGTCCAGGGTAGGGGAGGGAATGGCCGGCAGGGAGGTAGCTCAGTTGGTAGAGCATGGTGTTTGCAACGCCAGGGTTGTGGGTTCGATTCCCACGGGGGGCCAGTATGAAGAAAAAAAAAAAAAAAAAAGAATAATGTATGCACTAACTGTATAAGTCGCTCTGGATAAGAGCGTCTGCTAAATGACGTAAATGTAAATGTAAATGTCTAGCTAGTAATTTCTTATGCTAACAAGCTAGCAAGAAGTTGCATAGCAACAGCATGAAGTGGTAGACAGGCGACGCGCTAGTACACTCAACTGAAAGGGTACCGTTCGTTTACAGTATACTAAAATGAACTAATAGTAGGTAGTATATACTCATTAAGTATGTAGTATACAGTATGTCAGTATGGGTATTCGAACACAGCTCAGGTGTGGAAAGCTCTTACAGACTTACCCAAAAAGACTCGCAGCCGTAAAGGTGCTTCTACGAAGTATTGACTCAGGGGTGTGAATACTCATGTAAATGAGATATTTCTGTATTTCATTTTCAAAAAATTAGCAAAAATGTCTAAAAACATGTTTTTACTTTGTCATTATGGTGTATTATGTGTAGATGGGTGAGATATATATTTTTTGAATGCATTTTCAATTCAGGCTGTAACACAACAAAATGTGGAATAAGTCAAGGGGTTTGAATACGTTCTGAAGGCTCTGTACATGTTCTGTTTAATCACAGAATGGTTTTTACCACATCTCTTAATCATGTGCATTTAGTTCTGGGTATGTTGGTCTTGATTGTGTTTTCACATGTAACATATTGTCCAGTGTAGGCGACATTTTATACTTTATCTGCTCCGACTGAATCCTAGTGACCATCTGGTCCTATGGACCAGGACGTGTGTCGGAAAACAGATCACCTCTCACTCTAACACTGACTGGGCCATATAATGAAGGCATTGTGGAGATGCAGCACCGAGGTAGACTTAACCAATACAAGCTGATTAAGGCAACAACATTAGACTATCTCAGAGCCCCTTTTTACTTTCACCCCCAGGCTTCTCAGTCAGAAGCATAGTGCAGCAGTATTTGTCAATAGTTTTAACGATGCTTTCCTCACCGTGGCGTATTGCATTATCAACATAAACATTTTTCCTTGCATTGTGGCTGCAGTTATTGGTTAAAAAAAAACTGTAGTGTCATGATGGCAGGCATTTTGTTTTGAATGCCTTTATGAGGAGATAGTTCCTCACTCCAACAAAATGAATAATCCAGTCTCATGATGTTGCAAACTGTAAAACGTCATTTTAATGTAATAAATATTTATGTCACGCCCTGACTCAGGGGACGCTTAAATGTTGAGTCAGGGTGTGTATATTCTATGTTGTGTGTTTTCTATGTTTCGATCTATTATGTGAAGATCTATGTTGGCCGGTGTGGTTCCCAATCAGAGGCAGCTGTAGCTCGTTGTCTCTGATTGGGGATCATACTTAGGCAGCCTATTGGCACTAGTGGGTTGTGGGATCTTGTTCCTTGTAAGGTATGTTGTGTGTGCGCTACCTTGGACTTCACGTGTCGTTTGGTTTATTGTTTTTTCGTGTGTTTATTCAGTGTAAATAAACATGTACGTATATCACGCTGCGCCTTGGCCTGACCCGTCATTAAACGAACGTGACAATTTAGGGGTAGATCAGCTTTAATATTGCAGATTGTGGCTTCTATCAATGTAATTGTTTGGATAATTTCCAATCCCCATATATATTTTTTGTGTATATATATATACAGTGCATTCGGTTTATATACAGTGCATAGTTTTTTTCCCCTCATTAATCTACACACAATATCCCATAATGACAAAGCAAAAACAGGTTTTTAGGAATTTTTGCAAATGTATAAAAAAATAAAAAAAGTATATTACATTTCCATAAGTATTCAGACCCTTTACTCAGTACTTTGTTGAAGATCCTTTGGCAGCGATTACAGCCTCGAGTATTCTTGGGTATGACGCTACAAGCTTGGCACACCTGTATTTGGGGAGTTTCTCCCATTCTTCTCTGCAGATCCTCTCAAGCTCTGTCAGGTTGGATGGGGAGCGTCGCTGAACAGCTATTTTCAGGTCTCTCCAGAGATGTTTGATCGGGTTCAAGTCCGGGCTTTGGCTGGGCCACTCAAGGACATTCAGAAACTTGTCTCGAAGCCACTCCTGCGTTGTCTTGGCTGTGTGCTTAGGGTCGTTGTCCTGTTGGAAGGTGAACCTTCGCCCCAGTCTGAGGTCCTGAGAGCTCTGGAGCAGGTTTTCATCAAGGATCTCTCTGTACTTTGCTCCGTTTATCTTTCCCTCGATCCTGGCTAGTCTCCCAGTCCCTGCCACTGAAAAACATCCCACAGCATGATGCTGCCACCACCATGCTTCACCGTAGGGATGGTGTCAGATTTCCTCCAGACGTGACGGTTGGCATTCAGGCCAAAGAGTTTAATCTTGGTTTCATCAGACCAGAGGATCTTGTTTCTCATGGTCTGAGAGTCCTTTAGGTGCCTTTTGGCAAACTCCGATGGTAACTCTGACAGCGCTTCAGAGTTCCTCTATGGAGATGGGAGAAACTTCCAGAAGTACAACCATCTCTGCAGCGCTCCACCAATCAGGTCTTTATGGTAGAGTGGCCAGACGGAAGCCACTCCTCAGTAAAAGGCACATGTGCCGGTTGAGAGAATGCCAAGAGTGTGCAAAGCTGTCATCAAGGCAAAGGGTGGCTACTTTGAAGAATCTCAAATATAAAATATATTTTAAAATAAATAAATAAATATATTATTTATTTATTTTAAAATATACTGTACCAGTCAAAAGTCTGGACACACCTACTCATTCAAGGGTTTTTCTTTATTTTTACTATTTTCTACATTGTAGAATAATATTGAAGACATAATAACTATTAAATAACACGTATTGAATCATGTAGTAACCAAAAAAGTTTTGATGTCTTCACTATTATTCTACAATGTAGAAAATAGTAAAAATAAAGAAAAACCCTTGAATGTGTAGGTGTGTCCAAACGTTTGACTGGTACTGTATATATTTTCCTTCTTCATTATTTTCCCCTAACCCTACCACCCCTCCCCTAACTGGAGTAAACTAATGGACAACAATACTTAGGCTTCTACTTCCACCAATACTTAGGCTTCTACTTCCACCAATACTTAGGCTTCTACTTCCACCAATACTTAGGCATCTACTTCCACCAATACTTAGGCATCTACTTCCACCAATACTTAGGCTTCTACTTCCACCAATACTTAGGCATCTACTTACACCAATACTTAGGCTTCTACTTCCACCAATACTTAGGCTTCTACTTCCACCAATACTTAGGCTTCTACTTCCACCAATACTTAGGCTTCTACTTCCACCAATACTTAGGCTTCTACTTCTCACCCAACAAAATGAATCATCCTGTCTCATGATGTTGCAAACTGTAAACACACTTAAATTGTTAATGCGTTTACAGTTTTCATCTGCAGTTTCATTATTTTGGCTCCAATCTTTGGGTACCTTGGCGACCGCTACAACAGGAAGTTCATAATGATTGGCGGGCTGAGTGTGTGGGTGGTGACGACCCTGAGCAGCTCTTTTGTCACAGAATCGGTAAGTAAAACATTGGCTTTGTTCAAGAGCATCAAAACCGTGATGTATCATGGGTAAAATTGTGACTGACTGACTGACTGATCTACAAATAATATTGAGTAGTTATTTATGATGCTAGGTGATTTGTAGATCAGTCAGGCTCGACTCGCCTTTAAAGGGCCAATCTGTGATTGCTACCTAACTTTTTGTGACTTTTTAAATTAATGATATATGGCTATTGATTCTTGAAGAATATAATGTATAAATGCCTCATAAGCTTAGTTAAACTGTCTAACCCCATCAGAACCCCAAATATGGCCTTGTTTTGTTTATAACATGCGCAGTTAGAGCTAGTCCAGGATGTGACTTAGCCTGCTAGCTCAGTGCTGCCACCGCTCGTTGTGGATCTCGACGTTGAAGGCCGACCAGGGTACTGCAGGCTGCTTATATGATCCTTGTAACTTCTTCTGTGTACGATTTTAAAATGATTGGTGCAAGGGACGCACAGTTGGGTCTGAAATTATGGACACCCTTGATAAAGATTAGCAATAATGACTATAAAATTAAATAATTCTACTACTGAGCTATATTGAGCTATTAATGTTGAAATAGTGAGCTATACTGAGCTATCCAAAAAATTTGGGAAATGATATTATTTTATACTGATACGATTTTTGAGAAAGAGATTTTGTTTAGAAACGTATTCTATTCTTATTTACAATAAAAGTAACTCCAAAATGACACAATACATGATTAACCATTCATTTATATTCTATCCAAAACGAACTGCAAACGCATCCAACAAGTTTGTAGAGTCACAAGCTTGATGTAGGTAGTGGCAGGTAGCCTAGCGGTTAAAAGCGTTTGGCCAATAAATGAAAGGTGCTGATTCGAATCCCCGAAACGACTAGGTGAAAAATCTGCCCTTGAGCAAGGCACTTAACCCTAATTGCTCCTGTAAGTCGCTCTGCGTAAGTGCATCTGCTGAATTACTGAAATGTAAATGTAATCAATGCGTTCTAAGAATATGGTACCAAATACTACACTTTTGACTACTTTATTTATAACAATCTTTAGGGCTGTCAATCATTTTGATCTTTTTGAGGTTTGTTTTTATTACTTGTTAAACAAAATCTCTTTCTCTGACCAATTGTATTAGTATAATAATAAAAATGTCCATACAATATAGCTCAGTATTTGAATTATTTATTTTATACAGTCGTTATTGCTCATCTTTATCAAGGGTGTCAATAATTTCAGACCCCTCTATACATCTGGTGTACTAGAAGCAAGTATTGGCACCATGAAAAAATATATTTACACAAATATTGCCCACCAAGATTGCCATTTTCCCATTCACTATAATGGGGGATCCTGCTTTCTGAAAACAACAGTGTGTAGTATCCCGGTCAGGCCTTTAACTTCATGGCTTCAATGAGAGGGGGCAGTCGTTCTCCCCTGGAGTGGACTGGTTAAAGCTTCAGTATTGTTGTATTGTCAGTATTTCTGGCTGCTGGTGCTGTTGAGAGCCCTGGTGGGGACTGGAGAGGCCAGCTATTCCACCATCGCCCCTACCATCATAGGAGACCTGTTCTCTGGAGCCAAGAGGACCATGATGATCGCTGCCTTCTACATATTCATCCCTGTTGGAAGGTCAGATTCTACAGAGGAGCTTAATAATCCTCATGTTGCCATCAACATACTACACCATGGTCTGCGTCTGAAATGGCTATTCCCTATTTAGTGTTCATGTGAAGTGTACACTGTATCCATGTCCCCTGTAGCTCAGTAGGTCGAGCAACGCCAGGGTTGTGGGTTTGTTTCCCACGGGGGGGGGGGGGGGTGTTAAGTGAATTATTTAACAAACTATTTCAGTGTCTCTGTGCGTCTCCCAAAAGGTTGTAAGTCTTTTGGGATTTAAGTAACGGACAGAGTCCCGGTCTGCATAGTCAGAGATTTATTCATTGAGAATTCTGCCATCACAATTTCAGAGTCCATCTTTTATACTCATACGTCATACAAACATCCCTCCCCTCTGTAGGCGGGCTTTCTTATCATAGCCTACTCCCTGCATTCCTCAGTTATCGCCGTTCTCACAATATTCTGCACCATGTTTTCATAACAGTTTCTCTCCTCCCTAAATTCCTCAGTTATCAGTTGCCTGTAGGCAGTTCTCCTTGTCCTTTGTTGTCTGGCCTAACTCTTACTCACATTGCTAAATAGTAGCTCAATGCCATAGTCTTTACTGGTCCTACGCTCACACATTTCTAACACATTATACACAGTTTCAGGGTGTAATAATTAGTCATTAATAATTAATCTATCAGGGGGCCAGTATGAAAATGTATGCACTCACTAACTGTAAGTTGCTCTGGATAAGAGCGTCTGCTAAGTGACTCAAATCTAAATGCATCTTGCTCTAGTGGTTTTGCAAAATAGCACAAACTGCGTAGTCAAGTCACAGGCAAGGGGAATCACACTGTTGGTATGCTAATTGTGTAAGCGTATTAAGACTGGAGAAAGAAAGCAAACAAAGTGTAAACTAAGTCTCTGCAACCGAGCAGAACGTTGGGCACTAGCATTCCATTTGGGCACTAGCATTCCATTTGGGCACTAGCATTCCATTTGGGCACTAGCATTCCATTTGGGCACTAGCATTCCATTTGGGCACTAGCATTCCATTTGGGCATTCCATTTGGGCACTAGCATTCCATTTGGGCACTAGCATTCCATTTGGGTACTAGCATTCCATTTGGGTACTAGCATTCCATTTGGGCACTAGCATTCCATTTGGGCACTAGTATTCCATTTGGGCACTAGCATTCCATTTGGGCACTAGCATTCCATTTGGGCACTAGCATTCCATTTGGGCACTAGTATTCCATTTGGACACTAGCATTCCATTTGGACACTAGCATTCCATTTGGACACTAGCATTCCATTTGGGCACTAGCATTCCATTTGGACACTAGCATTCCATTTGGACACTAGCATTCCATTTAGACACTAGGCTAGCTTCACATTGTCAATGTCCTCCTGTTTGTGTGTTTTTCAGTGGTCTGGGATTCATAATAGGATCCTCCGTTGCCAATGCCACTGGAGACTGGCGTTGGGCCTTACGGGTAAGTCCCAGAAAGACAGAAACGCAACCTATTCTATTGAAATAAAACAACACACCTCCAGTTCCCATGTTGTGACACACATCTTTTATAACACACCTCTAATCCACACACCGTGACACATTATCTTCTCAGTATTTCATCAGGATTGTATTCATTACAGAAACCGTTTACCGTTTAAGAACCAAACGGAAGCAAACAGAGCAAATGTAATGAAATGGGGAGGTACCTACAAAATACCTGAATTTGTCCAATAGAAACTCTCGTTTGCGTTTTCCGTTTGGAGTAAACGGTTTCTGTTGCAAAACGTTTTGAAACAGAATCAGTGTAATTATTAGACCCCTGGCTCCCTGTCATGAAATAATGTCATTTGAGATCAGACCGTAGTAGCTCTATCTATATTGTATCTGAAGAAGCAGGTGAAATCATGTCATCCCTTCTGAGTCCTGGTGACAGAGAGCAAGAGTAGACATTCTCTCTGGTTGATGACTCATATTGTCTGTCCTGTCTGTCTGTCTGTCTGTCCGTCCGTCTGTCTCAGCTCAATCCCATCCTAGGTTCCCTGGGTCTGCTCCTGCTGGCTGTGTTGTGCCCCAACCCACCACGAGGGGCCTCTGACACCCACGGAGGAAGTACCATAGAGCACACCTCGTACCTGGAGGACGTCAAGTACCTTCTGAAGAAGTGGGAGAAAATGACAACGCATCTCTTAACACATCGTCAAATCATCTTATCTCCTTGATTGAATACTGTGTCTCCGACTCAGGGCTGGCACTAGCCTTTTCGGGGGCCGCCCACCTCGCAGGCCAAATCTTTAGTGGCCCTTCTCTTGGTGGTGGAGAGAAAGAAAATAGGCATTTTACAGCTACACTATATAAACAAAAGTATGTGGACACCCCTTCAAATTAGTGGATTCGTCTATTTCAGCCACACCTGTTGCTGACAGGTGTATAGAATCGAGCACACAGCCATGCAATCTCGATAGACAAATATTGTCAGTAGAATGGCCCGTACTGAAGAGCTCAGTGACTTTCAACGTGGCGCTGTCATAGGATGCCACCTCCTTTCCAACAAGTCAGTTTGTCAAATTTCGGCCCTGCTAGAGCTGCGCCGGTGAACTGTAAGTGCTGTTATTGTGAAGTGGAAACGTCTAGGAGAAACAACGGCTCAGATGCGAAGTGGCCAAACAAGCTCACAGAACAGGACCGCTGAGTGGTGAAGCGCGCAGCGCGTAAAAATTGTCTGTCCTTGGTTGCAACACTCCAAACGGCCTCTGGAGCAACATCAGCACAATAACTGTTCGTCGGGAGCTTCATGAAATGTGTTTCCATGGCCGAGCAGCCGCACAAGCCTATGATCACCATGCGCAATGCCAAGCTTCGGCTGGAGTGTTGTAAAGCTTGTCACCATTGGACTCTGGAGCAGTGGAAACGCGTTCTCTGGAGTGATGACGTTTAGCCATCTTGAAGTCCAACTGATGAATCTGGGTTTGGCGGATGCCAGGAGAACGCTACCTGCTCCAATGCATAGTGCCAAATGTAAAGTTTGGTGGAGCAGAAATAATGGTCTGGGGCTGTTTTTAATTGATTCAGGCTAGGCTTTAGTTCCAGTGAAGGGAAATCTTAACGCTACAGCATACAATGACATTCTAGATGATTCTGTGCTTCCAACTTCGTGGCAACAGTTTGGGGAAGGCAGGCCCTTTCCTGTTTCAGCATGACAATGCCCCCATGCACAAAGCGAGGTCCATACAGAAATGGTTTGTCTAGATCGGTGTGGAAGAACTTGACTGGCCTGCACAGAGCCCTGACCTCAACCCCATCGAACAATGTTGGGATGAATTGGAACGCCGACTGCGAGCCAGGCCTAATCGCCTAACATCAGTGCCCGACCTCACTAATGCTCTTGTAGCTGAATGGAAGCGAGTCTCAGCAGAAAACCTTCCCAGAAGAGTGGAGGCTGTTATAGCAGCAAAGGGGCGGGGATCAACTCCATATTAATGCCCATGATTTTGGAATGAGATTTTCAACGAGCAGGTGTCCACATACTTTTGCTCATGTAGTGTATTTTCCTGAAATACTACACATTTTGTCATGGGTGTAGAGAAAATGTTGCAGTTAAAAAAAAAACTAAATGTATGCAATGCTACGCATTTTGCCATGGGGGCAGAGAACATTTTGCAGTTTTAAAGATTATTTCCTGCAATTCTACACATTTTGCCATCACTTATATGATGATTTTGCCGTGTTAATATGATGAGAGGGACTAACAAAATCAATGGGGGCCCCCAGGAGGTCCGGCGCCTGCCTACCTGGTTGGTAATTCAGCCAGGATTACTAGCTCAGTTGGTAGAGCATGGCGCTTGCAACGCCAGGATTGTGGGTTCGATTCCCACGGGGGGCCAGTATGAAAAATGTATGCTCTGGATAAGAGTGTCTGCTAAATGACTAAAATGTAAATGTAGATAGCTGGCTAGATTAATTAGCCTCGCAATCTATAACATTTTAGCTGACATGGATAAATGAGTGACTGTCAGTGACTGACATAACAAGAGGAAAACTGCGGATGCACAACCACATTTCTAAATTGCACCTTTGTCTAACTAAGTTAAGACCCTGACTGAGTTCCCTTAAATAAAAAATAAATAAATAAAAACAGTGGGTAGGGGGGCCTGCTAGCCATGCAGTAGGGTTACAAAGGAAGGGTATATTACTGGTAACTTTCAAAGTTTACCAGTAAACTACCGGAATTTTGGAAACTTTCAGGATTTTATGGAATTTTCATAACATGTCAAATATATTAAAAATACGTTTATTTAAAAATAAAAAAAATAGAAATGACAAAGGTGTGAAACGTTCTCCAAAATATAACTCGTCAACTTAGTGAATGCTGTTTTGTTTAATATCTCTCTCTGTTCCTCCATGCAGTAAGAGCTTTGTGTGGTCGTCTCTGGGAGTGACAGCCATGGCTTTTCTGACTGGAGCTCTGGCCTTCTGGACACCCACCTTACTGAGCCGAGCTCAGGTGACTCAGGGCATCAAACCACCTTGCATCGCTGAACCGTGCGACCCCTCCGACAGGTATGAATTAATTAATTAATTAATTGGTGGATAGATGAATGAACAAATTAATGAAAACCTTTTATTATTATTATTATTATTTTTTGCCTGACCTCTGACCTTTTCATTCTCTTTGCTTGAATTCCTTGAAACAATATCACTTTAGTTACATGTTTCAACTGTTTGTTTGTCTTTCTGTCCAGTTACATCTTCGGGGTGGTGACGGTGTTGACGGGTATTTTGGGTGTTTCGTTGGGCAGCACCATCTCCAGGAGACTGAGGGACAGGGTGCCCAATGCAGACCCCCTCATCTGTGCTGTGGGTATGCTCAGCTCCGCACCCTGCTTCTTCACCGCCATCGTACTGGCGTCTACAAGCATCCCTGCCACTTATGTATGACATCAGCTCTTTAGCTTTTTTTGCTTGCTCTTTGGAGTCTATGCCAGGTTACTGTAAAATCACTTTGTGACAAGTGCTGATGCACAAAATACTTCATAAATTCATTTGATTGAGGTCCTGCTCACGCTAGGAGCTGCTAAAAACGCATATGAACAAATATTACGTTGACCAGATGTTGTTTTGGAAACCTGTAAATGTGTCATTCTGCTCAGGTGTTCATCGGCATTGGGGAGACTCTATTGTCACTGAACTGGGCCATTATAGCGGATATCCTCCTGGTGAGTTTGATTCACTGATATCTTGTGACCCTTCGAATTGCAAAGTGCATTAACCAATCTGTCAGTGAGTTAGGCATATGTTCGTTCCTGTGTGACAAAGTTGACGTGCCTTTCCTACCCTGCATCCAAAGAATTGATTTGAGCAAGCTAGTTCTTGATTCTACTTATGTGACAAAGCCTGATATATATATATATATATATATATATTGCAGTGTATTTATAAGTAAATGAGTTCACCTCGATGTATTCTCTTCTCAGTATGTGGTGGTGCCAACCAGGAGGGCTACAGCTGAAGCTCTGCAGATCATGGTCTGTCATCTCCTAGGCGATGCCGGAAGCCCTTACCTGCTAGGAGCTGTAAGACTGTCATTTATGGTTGAATAAAAATCGCTCAGACATACAGTATGGTGTGTATGTCGTAGGTTGACATTTATTGGGATGAGTCTTGTCCTTGAGGCAGAACTGAGCGAAAAAAAATCATGAAAACTAAAATGAGCTTTTTGGTCTTAATTTAAGGTTAGGGTTAGTAATTTGTGTTAGCAGTGTGGTTAGATCTAAAATCATATTTGATGACTTTGTGGCTGTGCCAGCTAGTGACCACTCTGCAGGGCTGCCTCCAGAACAAGATTCATGATGAAAAATGCTAACCTGCGTGTACATCAGTAACCAGTGACCATCAGGGTTGAGGTCAATTCCTCATAAAATTCTCATTGATTTGACTGAATTGAAATGGTATTGAGCACGACCCTGATATGACTACTGTCTCTCCTCTTGCCCCCTATCGGTCAGTAGATCTCTGATGCTCTGAGTAGAGATCAGCCTGACTCTCATGCGTGGCGTTTCCGTAGTCTGGAGTACAGTTTCCTGCTGTGCCCCTTCGTAGGTGTCCTGGGCGGGCTCTTCTTCCTCATGACAGCCCTCTACATCACAAAGGACAGGAAGAACGCTGAGCTTCTCACTGCAGGTACTATAGTGACGTATGGCTTCATATGGGTATATAATAATAATAATAATAATAATAATAATATGCCATTTAGCAGACGCTTTTATCCAAAGCGACTTACAGTCATGTGCGCATACATTTATATGATTGATGTATGTTCTGCTTGTATGTTTTTTCGACTAAACATGCTGTGAGGGTTCGGTTTGAGTTAGTCTCTTGTAATGCGGTTAAATAAATGTCTTGTTACTGGGCACGTGAGATTTGATTCTTGGTGCCAAGGTTAGATTTTATTCTTATTTGGATTGTTATATGCCAGACAGTTCTACATCCTACTTTTTTTTATGTTCTGGACGTATGATGCAAAGTCAAATAAGTGTGTGTACGTGTGCGTTCTTGTGCACATACGTGTGTGTGTGCGTGTGAGGCTGGCCGTGCACTAAGAGAGTTTGGTCGTTGTGTTCGCTAGCGTTGGTGCCGGACAGAGTCATGCCACATGATCGTAACACTTACTCAAGGCCATGACTGGACAGAGGCTCTCTTTGTCCCCCTCATAACTCCTCTGAACCATCCCAACACACTTCCTCTCAGAAACTACACACACACACACACACACACACACATACACACACACACACACACACACACACACACACACACACACACACACACACACACACACACACACAATCAGTACAGGTCCTTGATTAGGTTAGAAGGGAATCAGACAGTGAGAGGACAATGCTCCCTCCACAGACAAAGACAACATTGTGTTTTAAGTTTAGTATCTTGTAAGTTTAGTATCTTGTAAGTTTAGTATCTCACAGCCTCTTCAGTCTGTGGGCGTGTGTTTATCAGTTGTGATTGAAGACCCACCACCTCAGGAGATAAGAGTTGGTTCCTTCCTTCCTGATAAGCTTTTCTGTCGTCTCTGTCTGATTTTGGACCTGTACCACTCACATCAATCATCTGCAAAGCGCAAATGTTTCACATGCATGATGCTGTCTAAGTAGCCTTGTGTTCCAGCCAGGAAAGCTCTCTTTTTTCCCCTGGGTCTCTATCTTACTGTACCTCTCTCTGTGTGTTCTCTGTGTGTTTTCAGGGCTGTGTGATCCAGTAGATCCTCCTACTCAGTTTATTCCCACGGCAGGCTCCACAGATTGCTGAGGTGAAACTGGGATCCTTGGAGGACACTCGACTAGAGGAAGATATGTTAGATGTTGGTTGGTATGTGACCAAACTGAGCGTTGGGGTGACTGTCTGTAGTACCCCAGACCACTCTAAATGAGAAAATCATGGAACTGGCAACAAGTTCATATAGAAAGATTCCAAAGCTGCACACTGATCCAAAGAAAATGAGTTGTGGTCCATGGTACACAGACCTGTTTTTAAATGATGTGCCTTTTTATGACAAATCCGTTTTAAAAAATGTACCCCATTTTATAATTGCTGTGTTTTTATGTCTTACCACCTCACAATGTTTTTTTTATCTCACACAACCTTCATTGAAGTCCACTGTAAATACTCTGTGTAGTGTCCTAAACCAAACCTGAACAACTTCATTTTATGGGGAACAAACCAGCAGCAATTGAAAAAAAAAAATTGTTTTTAAGACCAGCGGATGAATCTGCCAACCCCATCCATTTTGTTGGCACGTTCCAGATTGACCTGTCCCTCCCCAGGCCCAAGCCTCCCTCTCCCACCCAGCAGCAAGAGGACGGAACGGGGTCTGAGGCTGGCCTGTAGCAGGAGCACCTGGAGGCTTCTCCACTCCACCTCACAGTGTGCAAGGGAATCCCCAGCCAATTCTCACTTTTCTCTAGCTTGATCAATCCACCTATTAAAAGAACTGCAAAATTATTAGAATAATGACCACGTGGTAAAGAAATGTGGAGTTGAATTGATGTTGAGAATATATGTATACTGAACAAAAATATAAAAGCAACATGCAACAATTGCAAAGATTTTACTGAGTTACAGTTCATATAAGGAAATCGGTCAATTTAAATAAATAAATTAGGCCCTAATCTATGGATTTCACATGACTGGGCAGGGGCCCACCCACGGGAGCCAGGCCCACCCACTGGGGAGCCAGGCCAGGCCAATCATAATGAGTTTTTCCCAACAAAAGGGCTTTATTACAGACAGAAATACTCATTACTGTCCCCAGCACAAGGTGCACCTGTGTAATGATCATGCTGTTTAATCAGCTTCTTGGTGGATGGATTATCTTGGCAAAGGAAAAATGCTCATTAACACGGATGTAAACAAATTTGTGCACAACATTTGAGAGAAATAAGCCTTTTGTGCGTATGGAAGATTTATGGGATTTTTTATTTCAGCTCATTAAACATGGGACCAACACTTTACATGTTGCGTTTATATTTTTGTTCAGTGTAAATATGTGTGTGTTTCTATCAAAGTAAAACATTTGGTGTATTTACAGTCTTGTCCAGTGCTCTTTGAGCCTCTGTTGGAAAAGTGTGCAATCTAATCATATTCCACTTGAAATGGCGATGTCACATCGGGAAAATATTAACTGCAGCCATTAAGAATCAGACAGCCACACATGGCTGTAGAACAGCTCCGTTGAAACTGAGCAGGAATTAAGTGTAACATTACAATAACAAAAAAATTTCTGACAGTTTAACAGAGAAACTATTGAGTGTGCATATACATATTCATTTTACATTTTAGTCATTTAGCAGACGCTCTTATCCAGAGCGACTTACAGTTAGTGAGTGCATACATTTTTCATACGTCTTACAGGATGTGAATGTAGTCTACCATTAGGAAGGCTGCTTGTGTTCTGAGCAGATATTAGGTATTATGTATTGTCTGTCCTGACAGTATGCTGGCACTACTGGCCGTGTGGAGACTGAATGGGGTTTTAATATCCCTGTGTTCTGGACTCAAACTATTTAATGAGCGAGGTGCCCTCCACCACCTGTCTAGTAAGCAGAGCTGTTACAATATAATAAAATGCCATTACAGTCATGTGAGCTGTTAAGAGGTCATTTTATATCTGATATCCCACCTATTCCTCATAATGGTACTGTTCCACTTTTAACCAACCCTAATTATATTAAAAACATTTTACTACCTGAAAAAAACAATTTAATCAATTTTAGAGTAAAGCTGTAACGTAACAAAATGTGGAAAAAGTCAAAGGGTCTGAATACTTTCTGAATGCACTGTATATACAAATAATACATTATCTGATGAAATTGCTTTAGAAAGGGGTACGAGACAGGGATGTCCTCTTTACCCCCTCCTGTTTGCACTGGCAATTGAACCGCTTGCAGAAAGAATTAGACAGGACTCAAATGTAACAGGTGTCAGTATTCGTATTCAGTATTCGTAAACATGAATATAAACTAAACTTATTTCCCGACGATCTCCTGATATACCTGACTAAAAAATTGAAAATTCAATGCCCGCTTTGTTCAAATATTTTTCGGACTCTTCAAATCTCAGGATATAACATTAATGTGGAAAAAAAACGGAAATAATGGCAATAGGAAAAATGTAAATAATAACTGATGATCTACAGTACTGATTCTCAGCCTGGTCCTGGGGACCCAAAAGGGGGCACATTTGTGTTTTTGCACTAGCTGATTCAAATGATCAACTCCTTATCAGGCTTTGATTATTTTTAATCAGGTGTGTAGTGCTAAACACAAATGTGCCCAGGTTTGAGACCAACTGATCTACAGCAATGCTTTAAGTGGACCATAAAAAAATATTAAAAACTTAGGATGCTTAATAAGTGACAACAACCAACAAATACAGTATCTAAAGATAACTGTATCCGATTACTCAACAATATGAAAGCATATCTAATTAAATTGAATAATCTCCACATAAATCTTACAGGTAGAGTAAACCTCTTTTAGAATGACATGGCTCTCAAAGTTTATATATTTATTTTCGGGAATACCAATTACCCCACCGAAGACATTCTTTAGAAAATAATACTTGTCCTTAAGACTTCATATAAAACTCATAGCATAAATAGGAACGTTTTACATGTATCAACTCGCCACCGAAGGCTTTTACTTGCGACATATTGTTCAATCACTAAAGAGGAACAATAGGTACATATTGAAGATGCACATGCTCAGAAACGTTTCACGCATTTGTTTTCAAAGGATGGAGCCAAGAACATTTACAACTTCATAGTTAAGAACACTAACAACATGGAAGAAAATGAAACGTATTCTACAAGATCCAAAATCACTCCCTAAAAACACACCCCTATTGAACAATCCTTCGATAGCTTTTCAGAATTCACAGATAAATTGGCCCACATGGAAAACTAAAAACATAGGAACTGTAAATGAAGTGCTAATAGGAAATACAATTATTTCCATGACAGAGTTGGGTAAGGCTTCCTCGATCAGTGTTTTGGGTTTCCAAGGAGATGGGATCATTCGTCCTACGGGCGTGGCCTCGCCTTGCAGAACTTTGATCTGATTTCTGTTTCGTAAGTTCTCTTATTTATAGGGAGACTCACAGAAGGCGGGCTCTAATGGCCAGACAGTATGACATGGGAACGCCCCGTTGATCCGGAGAACCCCGCAAATTAATGTTCTGATGAGCAAACCACAGCATGTTTTTTTCTTGTACAGAAGACCATTTCACAATCTTCAACATTCAATACGTAGCCTGTAGAGTACAAACACTTGTTGTGAAAAAATCCATACATTTTATGTTAGTGAAGTACCCATTATATTTATTTTATGACAGAAGAAAGATATCACATTGTTTCAGGTTATATCAACATGTCATGAGTCCAACAGTTTAATACATTTATAAGAAACACGTTTAATATGTTTTGCCAGTATTTGCGCAACCCTCTCTTTGTTAATGAGGAGGAAAAAGTCCCCAATTCTTCTTTCTTTATTGGAACAAAGCTCCAAAAGTCTCTGATGACCTATGTATGTTTTGTTGTCAAATTTTTTAAATATATATTTTTTTAAGAATCCCCAAGCCGACAAGGTGAAAAGTCTGTCAATGTGCCCTTGAGCAAGGCACTTAACATTAATTGCTCCTGGGTTGCCGTTGATAATGGCAGACCATGGTCTTGACCCCACTCTCCAAGGGTGTTTCAGGGAGTGCGGGATATGCAAAAAACACATTTCCAATTCACACATGCATATTAATACGCCCTTGTACATGTGTGAAATACAACAAATATAAGCACCCACCTAATTATTTTATTTATTATTATATTTCCAAGTCCATTTCTTGAATATCAAGGGGTATTAAATTAATTGGAATGACTGGAAATCTGACAGACTTTGGTTATTAATGTAAAGATATAGCCTAGTTGTATTATTATCTGTAATGAAGTAGAAAGTGATGGACATGAAGAAGCCTATAACCCAGAAAGGAAAATGTAACATCCATTTATGGCCAGCCATGTAAACTCTAACATTGATTTACAGTCCTGTGTAGCTCAGCTGATAGAGCATGGCGCTTGCAACGGCAGGTTTGTGGGTTCGATTCCCATGGGGGACCAGTATGAAAACAAAATATATATATATAGTGGCGTACCGCGGATAAGCCACCGGGGGAGACTTGTCTAGGCCTGTTGACAGACGGAGTCTACATCTCGAGGCGGTGGCTCCCTCTGCTGGACGTGCCAGGTCTCGACGGGTCCGCCGGCCAGGACTAATTGGGTCTGATTGAAGCTGGTGTGTAATCAAGGGGCTGATTGCTCACCAGCCATACGGGGCCCATAAAGCTGCCAGGAGGGCAGCACACGGGAGGGTTGGAGGTAGTGAGAGGTTGCTACCGGACAGACGTCCTCACGGTCTGATAGAACCGAGGGGCTCGGTGTTCTACCCCATAGGAGACAGCATTCCCCGGAGCCCAGAAGGCGGTAACCCGGATGAGGTCTCCTGGTTGTTGTAAAGAAACACCTTGAAACTGAGGTATCACACTTGTCTCTGTGTCTGATCTGTGTAAACGTCTTGATCAAACCCACTGGTGGAGAATGCAGGCAGTCTGAACTGATTTTTTCCGCATGTGTGGTTCCCACCGTGAAGCATGGTGGAGGAGGTGTGATGGTGTGTTTTTTTAATGTATTTAGAATTCAAGGCACACTTAACCAGCATGGCTACCACAGCATTCTGCAGCGATACGCCATCCCATCTGGTTTGGGCTTATGTGGGACTATAATTTGTTTTTCAACAGGACAATGACCCAAAACACACCTCTAGGCTGTGTAAGGGCTATTTGACCAAGAAGGAGAGTGATGGAGTGCTGCATCAGATGACCTGGCCTCCACAATCACCCGACCTCAACCTAATTGAGATGGTTTGGGATGAGTTGGACTGCAGAGTGAAGGAAAAGCAGCCAACAAGTGCTCAGCGTATGTGGGAACTCCTTCAAGACTGTTGGAAAAGCATTCCTCATGAAGCTGGTTGAGAGAATGCCAAGAGTGTGCAAAGCTATCATCAAGGCAAAGGGTGGCTACTTTGAAAAATATAAAATATATTTGGATTTTTTTGACACTTTTTTGGTTACTACATGATTCCATATGTGTTATTTCCATACATCTGACATCTGCCCAGTACAGTTGAAACCGGGATTCATCTGTGGAGAGCACACTTCTCCAGCGTGCCAATGGCCATAGCAGGTGAGCATTTGACCACTGAATTCGATTAAGACGCCGAAATACAGTCAGGTCAAGACCCTGGTGAGGACGACGAGCACGCAGATGAGCTTCCCTGAGACGGTTTCTGACGGTTTGTGCAGAACTTCTTCGGTTTTGCAAACCCACAGTTTCATCAGCTGTCCAGGTGGCTGGTCTCAGACGATCCCGCAGGTGAAGAAGTCGGATGTGGAGGTCCTGGGCTGGCATGGTTACACATGGTCTGCGGTTGTGAGGCCAGTTGGACGTACTGCCAAATTCTCTGGCAACCGCTCTG